CTTAATGACTTTCAAAGACTGTTAGGAGACATTTCCAGTCTACGACCAGCTATTGAAATAACACCTGATTTAATAATTCATTTGAACAAAACCTTGGATGGTGATAAAGATTTAAACAGTCCCAGAGAATTAACAGCTGAAGCAGAAAAGGAACTGACAATGATTGAGGAAAAATTACAACAGGCACATGTGGACAGGGTGAATCCAGAGCTTGATTGTATTCTCGTCATACTATCATGAAAAATTTCTCCTTCAGGAATTTTAATGCAGAGAGATGATATTATTTTGCAATGGATCTTTTTACCACATAAACCAAGTAAGAAACTGAAAACTTATGTGGAAAAAGTCTCTGAGTTAATTATAAAAGGCAAGCTGAGACTTCGTCAACTAGCAGGCATAGACCCAGCAGAAATTATAGTGCCTTTCACTGCTGATGAACTAAAGAAATTATGGGAAGATAATGAACCATGGCAAAGAGCTTGTGCTAATTTTTTGGGAGACATTAATAACAACTATCCAAAAAGCAAGAGGCTTAACTTCATAAAGAGAACCTCTTGGATTCTTCCTCGAATCGTCCGTGATGCTCCAATAACTGGAGCCCGTACATTCTATACTGATGCCAATAAATCAGGGAAGGCAGGTTACAAATCAGAAGACTTGGGTAAGGTGGAACAAAGTCCGTATAATTCTGTCCAGAAGGCGGAATTATATGCCATTCTTATGGTGCTAAGGGATTTTAAAGAACCTATTAATATAGTCACTGATTCACAATATGCAGAAAGAGTTATTTTACATATTGAAACTGCTGAATTTATACCTGGTGATACTGAACTAACCTCATTGTTCCTCCAGGTTCAAGATTTGATCAGGAACAGGCTTTGCCCTATGTACATAACACACATCCGATCCCATACGGGTCTGCCAGGTCCTCTAGCACAATGTAATGCAGAAATTGATCAATTATTGATTTGTAGTGTGCTACAAGCCTCTGAATTTCATAAAAAACATCATGTTAATAGCAAAGGTTTGAAGAAAGAATTTTCAATTACATGGCAACAAGCTTAGGAGATTGTAAAGAAATGCCCTACTTGCTCTTTCTATAACCAACGCCACTGCCTGCAGGGGCTAATCCAAAGGGCACCCAAAGGAATGAAATCTGGCAGATAGATGTGTTCCACTTTGCAGAATTCGGCAAATTAAAATATGTTCATCACACCATTGACACTTATTCAGGCTTTCAGTGGGCAACTGCTTTAAGTTCAGAAAAAGCTGATTCAGTAATCACTCATTTATTAGAAGTCATGGCTATCATGGGTATACCTACACAAATAAAGACGGATAATGGTCCTGCTTATGTTTCTAGGAAAATGAAACGGTTTTTTGATTATTACAATATCAAGCATGTTACAGGTATACCACACAATCCTACAGGTCAGGCAGTCATAGAAAGATCAAATCGAACTATAAAGGATATGTTGAACAAACAGAAAGGGGTGGAAAACACCCCCAGAAATAGGTTACATAATGCTTTGTTAACCTTGAATTTTCTCAATGCTAATGAGAAGGGATCAACAGCTGCAGAAAGACATTGGATAATGGAAAAGTCTAATGAACTAAATCAACCAGTTTATTTCAAGGATGTGCTGACCTCACAATGGAAGCCAGGAGATGTGCTACGTTGGGGAAGGGGTTTTGCTCTTATCTCCACAGGTGAGGAAAAATTGTGGATACCGTCAAAATTAATAAAGGTTCGGTTTGAAGAAGAGAAGCCACTTGGAAAAGATAAATAACAATTCTTTCATAAGGATGGCGAGCATACTGATGGTAAGAAATACATATAGGTTGGAGGCAGGGTTCTTTTCTTATCTCCACAGGAAAATACTCATCTTCAAAGAAATTAAGGGACCCTGAATATTTAATTACTGAGGGATGGACACATTTTGTAAGTATTAATTTATATATATATATGTCTTATTAAACATTTCTTTATAAATATATAGAGCTGGTTTTGAAGTTGGACTCTGGCTCAGTCCCTCTCCAATTCCAAGCCTGTTAGTAAGAGAAAACCCAGAGTTTCTGGAGTTTCTGTCTCATGTCAAAAGCCATGATATGGGACAGAAAGAAATATGAGTTTAGAAAACATCTTTGCTTTTCTCCATATCTATCATACTTTTCATTGAATATATCTATCATGCCTTTCATTGAATATATATATGTATGTCTATATGATTAATGTTTAAGTTTTTCATAATGAACAATGAGTTTTTCCTGAAGTGACATTTGAAGTTTCCAGGAAGAAGATGGGGCCCCACAACAACAACTCTACCCGGTTGATATGACGTCATGATACTGATAGCGCTACTACAAGACCTGTTTTGGATACCAGCTGCACAAGACGATCCCAACTTGGTTAGCTGAAATGGTGCACATCTTGTACAACATTCTGGCCAGACCTCCACAAAATACTCAGAGACTATTTGCAATTTTAAAAGACATTGATCTTGAAATTTAACCATCATTTTACTTTCACAGGATCCCCCAGAAAGAACGTCGCCCCCATGACAGCTGGAAGTAATTCTAGAGGACGACGTCCCCTCTCCCAGTAAAATTTACCCCTGGGTTTAGGGACATCATTTAGGGGTTGGGAGGTTGGGGGAGGAATTTTATAAGCTCAGGGATCATTTTGAAAAAAAAAAGAGGGAATGATGGGATAATAGATTTATAATTGTGAGTTACTGCTTTTAAACAAATATATTGGTATAGATTCTTGTATATTGATACAAAGTTAAATTATATTGACTATTGTATGCATGCATGTTTCTATCTCTGTTTAAAACATTTTTATGTATTGACATATATTGTATTGATAAATATATATTGTATATATTTACCATATTGCAGTGTACATTTCTACCTCTGATTAAGATACTTATATAATGTTTGTGTATTGATATATATTTACCATATTGCAATGTATATTTGTACAGTGTTTATATTTGGAGGTCATTATCCTCATTTGTTACACAGTTGTTTATTGTCTTAGTCTTTAAGTTAGATAGATATTGCGAATTATATAGATAAATAGTCATCTAAGTTTGTCATTTATAATTAGACTAATCAGGTTCTTTAGATATATAGAGATTATACTCAGTATAGATAGATAATCTTCAACCTCTTCAAAGAGCTGTAGAAAATGGCCTTTAATCTAACTCAGAGTTTCGTGATAGTGAGACACAATTGCTCCTGGCAACACTGCTCTATTCCCGAGAGAATGTTGAGCACCAAAGACACTCCATCTGGAGCCTTTCTATTTGGCAGAACTGGCCTTTGGGCAAAGAAATGCCCATACCTCAACCACTGACAGAGATACAGAGCGTGCATCAATGGATAAAACAGGACTGTCATATCCTGCCAAGACAGGGTAAGATAGTTTTGAAAAGTTGCTTGCCTTAGAAAATGGTATGTCAGTTATGTTAGGCCTTAGCCAAAATTGGTTGACTCATCATTGCAAACGAGACTTTGGGTGATTGCCCAGGTAGTCAGTTGTCTCTGTCAATTGTTGCACATTTTGGATATATCTCGTTTGTTGAGTAGTGTTTATTCCCTTCTCAGATCTTTGACTGAGTTGAAGATTATAAAATTGTAGTTACTCTTTACATTATTTGGACTCCTTGAGATAGAATGTTTAACAAAGCTTTTGTTCTCAATATTGTTTGTTATATTTATTATTTGTTGTTATTGTATGTAGTTGTATTTGGTTTAGTTCTGTCTTATTTAGACAAAAAGGGGAGATGTAGGGATAAGTCCCGCCCCTTAGGGGGCGTGTTCGCCTCGGGCTAATGTCTGCCTATAAATTTGGCGAGCGTGCTCAGAGCTGTCTCTTCTGCTTTCCTGGTCTCCGCGGGAACGGTGGTTCTGTAAGTCTATTTCTACATTAAAACTATATATATTGTTACAATCTGTCTGCATTCGTTTACGCCGCTACAGAGACCCCCTCCTCCCAAGGCCCAGGAGTCCTTTCAGAGGGAACAGAAAAGCTATAGAGCAGGGTTGTATATGACACATGGAAACTGTTTCCAGGATCAGCAGGGCACTTGGCCTGTGAACTCACAGCAGTGTGAGACCATTCATAAGACCTGAGCAAGCTCAAACCAGACAAAAATCCCAAAATAAAGAGGACAGGTAGGCATGATGAGCCATTAGCAACTGGTAGTTACTGGGGAGGGAGAGTTAGTTTCCTTTATGGGTGCGGCCCTGGCAGGTCATCCAAACTCCAGTGGAAGGCCAGACATACAAAAGTTTATGAACAACACAAATTAGAATTGATGAGTTTTAAAAAACAAAAAAGGACACAAAGTTTGGTGGGTAGGGAAGGGGTGGAATCTGGGGAGTGAAGTGTGAAGTCCTTCTGTATATGTGCTGCTTTTATTGGTTAATGAATGAAGGTGTTTTGACCTATGGCAGGACAGAATATAGCCAGGCTGGAAGAGACAGAGAGAGAGAGAGAGAGAGAGAGAGAGAGAGAGAGAGAGCCCTTGTGAACGAAAGTTATAGCATTTGAATGGTTTGGGGCAGTAAAGGAAGTCCACTTTTACAGAACTATGTTTAATTTAATAAAATATTTTCATTGAAGTTATTTTGAAATTTGGTAGGATTTATAATGGATTAGTGTGGAAAGTCCTTCTGTATATGTGTTGCTTTTATTGGTTTATGAATAAAGAAGCTCCTTTTGGCAAATGGCTTAGCAGAATATAGCCAGGCTATAAGATATATATATGTTCACAAGGGCTCCAGCTATAGGTTGCTGCTTTGTATTACAGAACATATGCACTGGGGAGGACACAGGCTATACCTGGTTTAGTAGCTGGCAGTGATCTGTCCCAGAAGCTCAAGCCCACTAAGAGCCACTGTGTACTAAACTGGAGCTTAGTCTGCTGCTGGCAAGCACAGCCCACAACACCCACCCTCCCTCCCTTCCTATTCATCAAGATTTAGGATACCTGAAAAAGCAGCAGGTCTTCCAGAAAGGCTAGCATCAAAAACCAGGGAAAGATGGTTAGCTAAGCCACAGGCCAACCGCTGTCCATCCCCTGTTTAAAAAAATTAAGTAAACAGCTCAATAAATTCGTAACATGGAAATCCCACTGATCAACCGACTGTTAACGTGGAGAACATTAAGATAAACGGTCATTTTTCAGGTAGTGAAACATCTGAAAGAACACATAACAAGACTCCCAAGGTCTATCTGGCCTTGAGCCAGCCCTCAGCAGAACCCTCACAGAGCAGCCTTCCTCTCACAGAAGACACGCAAAGGGACACGGCTGCAAGAGCACAACAGTGAAAGTGGGGATCTTGAGCACAGCAAACATCAAAGATGCTCACTGACAGCAGTGCACACTCAATCGTCAAAGGTGTTTGTCTAAAATTATCTGAAGAGTTCCTTTATCCAGAGTGATAAACTGTCATAACTTCTAGATGACCCACCAAAAACACTCTGAAGGAGGTCAGGGCACCTTCACAGAGCCACACAAACGGCCACTTCACCCCCTTCAAACATTATCAAGAGCTTTGGGAGGAAGGCAACTGGGGTACATTTGAGACCATAGCAGCACCTGGGGAGGTCGAGCGCTGCTCTTCCCTGTGAGACAGGGTCCACCTGAGGGAGAGGCACAACTCACAGGCCAGTGTCACGGCCACCTTGTGATCCCTCTGTGGTCACATATCTAGCTTCTGTCTATGAAAAGCCATCTTGCCAGGCTCCTGTGTGAAGGGGTCATCATGGAAAACATATGTGTATCGTCGTGGCAGCACTGAAGGACAGAAGTGTCCTGTGATGGCCCTTGTCAAGTACAATTGGAGCCTCACCTCACTCTACAGCCAACCACTGCTTATGAAAATCAGTCCCAATGTGACGACCTATCTTCATTGTCAACTCGACTACATCTGGAATCAACTAAAACCCAAGCTGGACACACCTGTGGGGAATTTCTCGATTGCATCATTTGAGTTGGAAAGACCTACCCAAGTCTGGACCAGTTGAGGTAGGATGAGCCACCCTACATCTGGATCAGCTGAGGTGGGAAGACCTAACCTAAGTCTGGATCAGTTGAGGTAGGAAGACCCACCCTAAGTCTGAATCAGCTGAGGTAGGAAGACCCACCCTAAGTCTGGACCAGTTGAGGTGGGAAGACTCACCCTAAGTCTGGACCAGTTGAGGTGGGAAGACCCACCCTAAGTCTGGGTCAGTTGAGGTGGGAAGACCCACCCTAAATCTGGATCAGCTGAGGTGGGAAGACCCATCCTAAGTCTGGGTCAGTTGAGATGGGAAGATCCACCCTAAGTCTGGACCAGTTGAGGTTGGAAGACCCACCCTAAGTCTGGACCAGTTGAGGTGGGAAGACCCACCCTAAGTCTGGATCAGCTGAGGTGGGAAGAACCACCCTAAGTCTGGGTCAGTTGAGGTGGGAAGACCCACCCTAAGTCTGGGTTGCACCTGGTGGCAACCTGCACAAAATGATGTGGAAGGAGAAAGCTCTTGCTTTTTGCTTGCTTGCTCTTCACTGTTGCTGACAAGTTCCTCTATCCTGATGCTGGGGCATTCCTTCACTGGTGTTAGAACCTACTTCTCTGGGATCCCAACACAGCTGAAGACCAGCTGAGATATCCAGATTCAAGGACTGAACAACTACTGAATTCTTGGCCTTTCCATCAGGAAACAGACATTGTTGGACTAGCTGGACTACAGTCTGCAAGTCACTCAGACATTGTTGGACTAACTGGACTACAGTCTGCAAGTCACTCAACTCCCATCTCTATTTTTATTCTATGTGGTCTGCTCCTCTAGAGAATCCTGACCAATATAACCAAGATCTTCAAAAACAAATTTACCCCACAACAGTGGGCAGAATCCAGCTGCAGGAATGAAGGGCAAATGGTTCCGAGGCTTACCTGAGTACTGCAGACAGCTCACAGCAACAGGCTCCTGAGCCACTGCAACCTGCCTGATGAGATTTCTGGGTAGGCAACGCTCCAAAGAGTATTCCTTACTTTAAGGAAGGTCATAGTGAAAACCAAGAGATAAATTCAAAGGAGATTAGAAATAAACTAAAAATTAAGTATATTTCATTCTACTGAGATAGATCCTTTTATATTATTAAAGCTCAAAATCTATATAAAATCTTTTAGTCACACTCATGAACAGCTCTTTGAAACAGATTTATATTGTGTGTTGTCAAATCTTTGTGGGTTTGTGTGTAGTATAAACATGTGCAGGGACACATGTGGGCAGGTGCATAAGGAGACCAGCGGTCATCTGCAGATGTCATTCTTCAAGCTTTTATGTGAGTGCTAAGGATTCAAAATCAGATCCTTGTTTTCATAGCAAGCACTCTTAACCATGAAACTGTCTTCCAAGGCCCTGGTTTCACATGTCTGCGGGTTGGTATTATAATACTAACTATAGTCATGGCTTGATAAACCCTAAGCCAGAAATGCACTTTGCATCCCTAACCAGAGACATGCAGGGCTCCACTGAGCAGAGTTTGCGAGGCTCTCCGTAGTCTGTGTCTAAGGACTCACTGAGCCATGCACTTTGCATCCCTAACTAGAGACACGCAGGGCTCCGCTGTGAAGAGTTTGCGAGGCTCTCAGCAGTCTGTGTCTAAGGACTCACTGAGCCAGGAAGATCCACTTTCCGACCAGCATGTTGATCCGGGCATCCTCTGCCTTTTAGGTTCCCATACTGTGAAGGGGACATGAGCTTGCCTGTCTACATGGTTATGGCAGAATCAGTCACCTCGGAGGGGTCTGTCTGGTTGCCTGGATGCTATTCTGAAGGTCAGGCTATTGTTTATACATTCATGTTGAGTAGGAGCTGGTAATGCCTCCAGAAAACGAGCATCGCTCTTCCTTCCCCACACCTGTAGGCATCTGGAAACTGCTTCCTGGGGAGATTTCATTCTTAAACCTCAGGGCCCTTCCAGATCCATGCCTGCTTGCTTCCTCTCCCCACAAGAGCCAAAACTGTACAAGAAGTGGCTTGCTCAGTGTATAGAACAGAGTCGTCAGAGAAGAAAACAGCCCAGTGGGTGAGCAGGGCTCCGTATAGGAGAAAATGCCATGAGGAGCATGGGGTTCAGGTCACTCTCGGGGCCCAGTATCACTGGGAACACCAAGTAAGTACTCTGTGGGATCAGACACCTTATGCTATAAATACATGGTCACCTACTGACGAGGAAACTAGTGGAAATTGACAGGAAAGGTTAAAAAAAAGAACAAATAATGCTTAAGAAAAATGCCAATATGTATGGCTCAAATCACACCCAGAATATCAAACACCCTGAAGAAGTGCTCCGAACATAGGCTCCCCAAAGGAATGCAATGACCAGTGTCCTGACGACAGGAAAATACAGCTTGATGTGAGTTACAGTGTCACTACACCCAAGACTACCATCCAAGAAAACAAAAAGTAAATAACAAATGCTGGCCATGATGTGAAGGCAGAGAAACCCTTGACCCACTGTTGAGGAGATGTGAATTACAACAGCTGCCACGGAACACACTAAGGGAGATGCCTCATAAAACTAAAATGAAAACTACCATATGATCCATCTTACTCCTGAGCATAGACTCGGAGGAAATAACATCACTACCAAGGAGACTCCTGCTTGTCTGTGTTCACTGAGGCTAAGCTGAGGCTAAGTCTGTGTTCATGCAGCTAAGATACAGATCAACCTAGGTTGATCAATACGGGAATGAAAAGACATGTGGTATATATGCACCATGAAAAAGATTGAGACATGGGCTCAGCAGTTGACAACACTTGCTGTCCTTCTAGGACCAGTAATCTCTGACACCCACATGCGGCCCCTCACATTGGCCTGTGACTTCAATGGCGTGGGTGTGACACCCTCTGCTGACCTCTGCGGACACATGCATCCACAGACACATACACTAAAATTAAAATAAATCTTATAAAAGGAAATCCAGCCATTAAGAAATAACATCTGCCATTTATAGCAAACTACATGGGAAGGGAAAGATACGCCAAATGCAGAACCTCAAATATCATATGTTCTCGCTCATATTTGTAAGCTTCAAAAATATTTTAAAGTTGACCTGGACATAGACTAGTGATGATTCTAGAGACCAGGAAAGAGATACAGTGAGGTCGGTCTCATCAAGGAACACTGTACATATGGGTTAAAGCAACATGCTAAGCCCCAGGAATAGGTGCAACTGATCCAAGTCAATCACAAGCACTCCATGTTCCAGTCAGCATTTCTGTAAAAACACTCACTGTTCAAACATATGTGTGGGATATGTGAAGATGAATCTTACACTAGGCAGTCCACGATCTCTTTTTCATCAGCTATAGTATATGTTCATAATATGTCATGCACAGTTCTGCCTGAAGCAAGCCCAATGCCCCAAACTCTCCTTGTGCATTCAGGTTGTGTTTACAGCATGTCCAGGTCAATGAACCAGCCATGAACATTAAGAAGCAACTTTGGCTCTGCAACTGCCCCTCTGTCACTACAGAGACCTGAAATGTGTCTCAGGTGTGGTCAGCCAAGAGACGCAATACTCTCCTACAATTGCATTTTAGCAAAAACTCACTATTTCAAAACTAGCAACATCCTGTTTCCCCAAGTTCCCCCCATCCTCCCCTTCTCACTTTTCTCTCCCCATCTCCCCTTACCCCCAACCCATGCCACCCCCAAGATCCCACTTTCCTCCCCGGCAATTTTGTCTACTTCCCATAGGCAAGAGGAAACTATATGTTTTTCCTTGGGTTCACCTTCTTATTTAGCTTCTTTAGGTTCACCAATTGTAGACTCCGTGATGAGGAGCGGAAGGAGGGAGAAGATGAGCAAGGAAGTCAGGACCACGACGGGTGCACCCACCCACTGAGACAGTGGGGCTGATCTATTGGGAGCTCACCAAGGCCAGCTGGACTATGACTGAAAAAGCATGGGATAAAACCGGACTCTCTGAACATGGCGAACAATGAGGACTGATGAGAAGCCAAGGACAATGGCACGGGGTTTTGATCCTACTTCATGTTCGGGCTTTGTGGGAGCCTAGCCAGTTTGGATGTTCACCTTCCTAGACATGGACGGAGGGGGGAGGACCTAGGACTTACCACAGGGCAGGGAACCCTGACTGCTCGTTGGACTGGAGAGGGAGGGGGAGAGAAGTGGGGGGAGGGGGAGAAGGGTGGGAGGAGGGGGAGGGAAATGGGAGGCTGGGAGGAGGGGGAAACTTTTTTTTTCCTTTTCTCAATAAAGAAAAAATTCAAAAAAAAAAAACTAGCAACATAATAAAAAGAGCAGAATACCCAAAGGTTTACTAAAATGAGACAACCATATTTTGTTTGAAGGATGCATGTCAGTGATATATTTGTACTCATTTTTATGCACATATATTCATATTTCTGTTCAAAAATCAAGAGAGCACTTTAAGAGTGTTTCTAAGTTGTTCGGATTTATTTAATGCACGCACTCAATTACATACCACTTGTGACTGTTCTTGCCTTTGGAAGTTCTTTTGTTAATATGCTTGATGTTGGTCTTTGGGGAAAACATAGTCCCACTGGGAGGAAAACACATATACATATGCATATATCACTCTCAACAATTATTTACATTTATAAGGAAAATTAAACATGTACAAACTTACATAATTTTCTCAGCTGCCTTCTGTCCTTGAATACAAGAACGGTCACTCATCCTGACCCAGAGATGCCACAGTGCTACACTCCTCTTCAGGGACCCTATCTAATGCTTTCAGCTCAAAGTTCCAGGGCAGCATCAGGACCACCACAGCCTCCCACATCACCCAGTGTGGGTCCTCCGAATCCACACTTAAGCTCACAGATTAAAATGCTGCTTTGTTCTTCTACTGTATGAATTTCCGATCCATCCATCTGCCATCATTCATTCAGGGTATGTTCTCTGGGTCATATTGTCATCTATGAAGTTCATGCTCAAAACTACTTTTATTCAATCACATTTTAAAACTTAACACACAAAAATCTCATATTGTTTTGTGTTGGCTGCGGTCATAGCTATCCTGTAGCTATCCTGTATCCAGTGGGCCACAGTTGGGACACACCTGTGACTATGACTAACTCACCCTTCTATCTATTCACCTTTCTCGCCATCTGTGATCTCTCCCCGCCTTCTACCCATCTCTCTACCCATCCATCCCTCCTTTTATCTGCCTGCCATCTGTTTGTCAGTGTCTTAGTGAAGAGTTTAAGGAGCCAGGCACTGCCCCAAGCACAGGTCTACAGAATAGACAGGTAAACAGCACCCACAGCTCTTGCCATTGGGGAAAGAAAAGGCATGGTAAGATACTGAGGGCTGAGGGGCGCTAGAGCTGCAGTTACACACAGGATGGCCGGGGTCAGAGGCCTTGGAGAGGCCTGAGTGAGGTCTCAAGGCTGAGGTGAGTGGGTGGGCATGGATAAAGGTGAGAACGCCAACAGGGAGATGATAGAGACCAAAACTCTGTCACGTGCTCTAAGTGCATAGAGCCCATGGGAGAGAGAGAGAGAGAGAGGAGAGAGAGGAGAGAGATAAAAGAGAGAGAGAAGAGAGAGAGAGAAGAGAGAGAGAAGAGGCTACAAATTTCAGAGAGACTGGGCTCACAAAAAGTTGAAGATGTTTAGTCAGGTTATGATGAGGTCATGCATCACCTTTATCCACTTTCCACCCTCCAGCTTCTCACTCACTACAACCAACTTTCTGATTGACACCAGCACAAGAAGCTGAGCCGAGACCAACAGCCAGTGGGCATTTAACAAGAGTTGGCTGTTTGGCTGCCACCCTTGTGGTGATTGTGTACTCTGGGGTCTGGCTCACATTTTCCCCCTGCGCCCTGTCCACAGAACACCATCTCAGTGGTATTCTTGCAGTCAGTTCTGCCACTGACACAGAGGCCTGATGGTTGGTACTTACTGCGGTGCCGATGTATAACCAGATGACCTGATTTTATTGTGGAAAATGAGGGGTCTGTCCTCCATGACACTCCTCACAGCTATGTGACAGGATACAAAAGAAGCAGCAAACATTTAACATCGCAATTTCACTGTCCTAGAAAAAAAAGAACCTAGACTCCCCAAACCAGGAAGATTCTAACAAAATGACCTTCTGACCTAATGAAATGCAGGCTCCATACAGAAACCAAAGAAAAAAACAGCCAAAAATTCATCACGGAGACAAAAGGTGCAAGAAAGCAATGGAAAATATATTAAACCGTACCACGAGTGACACCGTGCATTTATTTTCTTTCTTGTTTCTGTTTGCTTGCTTGCTTGTTTTTGAGATAGAAATTCTCTGTGTAACAGTCCTGGCTATCCTGGAACTCACTTTGTACACTAGGTTGGCCTTGAACTCACAAAGATTCAAATGCCTCTACTTCCCAAGTGCTGGAATTAAAGGCATTTGCCACCATGCCCAGCCAAAAGCATGTATTTCAAATGTGTTTGGACTACAGGCCAGTACAGGGTCCCTGCTCGAAGAACACACAGAAATGGACAACACACAGACTCAACCTGACAGGAATTCCACTGAGGGGACAACCAGGAAGAACAATGGTGAAAACAGAGACAGGCTGCCTGCCTTACAGATCAAATTCAAGTGTTTAATGACTTACTCCTCAGAATGGGCGCATTCCCTAGCTGATGGGGGCCCTAGAAACACAAGGGAGGTTTAGTGACTCATCTAACCAGGTCTGGAGATCTGGAAGAGGCCAAGCCAGTAGCCTGGGGGTAAAAGGCACGAAACATGTAGATGTGGCAAATATACAGAATGGATCTGACTGGGAGGGGCTTAATCTTCTTAACTAAGTCAGTCAGTAGACTTTAAGGGACTGTGAGTTTACACTGGAAAATGAAGGAAAACAAGGGATCATCAGTCAGCAATGATTCCTACAATATAGAAAACTGGGACACAATGAATTCCGCCTTCTAACATGAAAACTAATTTTAAACTATATTTTGAAAAAATCAACATGAGGACTAGTTGGCTACAGTTTACAACAAACCAATCAAAACCTATTTTTTAATAGCCAATAAAATTTTATTTTGGCCTTGCTAATACAAGAACCCATTTCTCGTTGTGACAAGATGTGATTCTGGCAGATGTCTCAGAAACATACACTGAAGAGTGCATGATATGATAATACACTGTGCAACTACTCAGGGTCCAGCAGAGGCACCACTGCAAGTCCCCCAAGGAATCACATCAGAATTGAGACAGGCCCTGGAGTTCCTATGAATTATGCCCAACTCAGGGGGGAGGTGTGGAATCGAAGACAATGTGCAATAAATCTGAGAGCCATAGAAGCCACACTGGATTTACTGTAAGCAGAGACTGTTCATTCACACAGAAACTCTATGAATTACAACACTGCTTGGCTGATGGCTCAGGCATATCTCTAGCTAACTCTTACATCTTAAATTAACCCATTTCTATTCATCTATGTATCACCACGAGGCTATGGCCTACTGGTAAGATTTTATCATCTTTCTCCTTCAGCAGCTACATGGCGTCTCCTCGACTCTGCCCCCCCCCCGTGTGTGTGTGTGTGTGTGTGTGTGTGTGTGTGTGTGTGTGTGTTGTGATTTCCCACCTGGCTTTACTCTGCTCAGCCATTAGCCCAAACCGCTTTATTAATCAACAAACAAAAGCAGCACATATACAGAAGGACATCCCATATCGATTTATCTTTTGGCAAATTCAAGTCCCAAAGTGATGCAGCAATGCTGACTGCACGGGAGATGGCTGCAACGCACGTGTGTTTCAGAGCTGCACGGGAGATGGCTGCAACGCACGTGTGTTTCAGAGCTGCAGGGGAGATGGCTGCAACGCACGTGTGTTTCAGAGCTGCAGGGGAGATGGCTGCAATGCACGTGTGTTTCAGAGCTGCGGGGGAGATGGCTGCAATGCACGTGTGTTTCAGAGCTGCAGGGGAGATGGCTGCAACGCACACGTGTTTCAGAGCTGCGGGGGAGATGGCTGCAATGCACGTGTGTTTCAGACCTGCAGGGGAGATGGCTGCAATGCACGTGTGTTTCAGAGCTGCAGGGGAGATGGCTGCAACGCACGTGTGTTTCAGAGCTGCAGGGGAGATGGCTGCAATGCACGTGTGTTTCAGAGCTGCGGGGGAGATGGCTGCAACGCACGTGTGTTTCAGAGCTGCGGGGGAGATGGCTGCAATGCACGTGTGTTTCAGAGTATGTTGTACTAACCATGTCGTTTGCTACTGGCAGGCTTAGGAAGGCTTTCCTTAACAACTCCAAAATACAGTGGAGAGGTTGGTAGGACACAGGAGCTAAAATAAGAACAGTCACATGTGAGAGCAGTGATATGACAGAACTGTTTCAATGCAACATACATTTTTAAGAACAATGTAAGATTAGCTCATTCAAATGTAGATTTACAATATTTGGAAATTAAAACTACCAAGGTCCTTATCTTTATGAGAAAAATATTGATACGCTTTAATGAAAGTGCTTTTTTATTATTTACATTCTACTTTGAAATAAACTAGTATTTTATGTTCGAGTAAAAAAAAAATCATGGCATAAAACATTTGTCCTTTCAGAGAGCATTAGTTTGCTGAGTGTCGCCAATGTTCCAGTGTTTCTTCACTTGAAAAAGATCTAAACTGCAGCCAGGCGGTGAGCAGCACGTACGTAACTGCAATCTGAGAAAGACTGTACCTTGGCAGCACGGAAAGCACTCTCCCGGCACCGGGGCTCCTCTGGGAGCTCAGCAGGGCAGCCAGGCTGACGTCCAACACGGCGATCTTGTTTCCAAACATAGATGAGAGCATGCACAGTGCCTGTGGGACACTCAGAAGGTGAGCAGCACGGCTGGGCTGGGGGCCCGTGGGTGCACCCCAACTCTCCAGTCGCAAACACAGCTTTCACAGTGAGATCTGCTTCACATTTACAAACAGGGGATCCACGTGTAGTGAATCATAATTTCACATATGAAACACCACCAAGACTGTTGTCACAATGAAGAGGTACATGTCAGAGCACAGGGAAGTGTGTTAGACACAATGAGGAGGTACGTGTCAGAGCACAGGGAAGTGTGTTAGACACAATGAGGAGGTACGTGTCAGAGCACAGGGAAGTGTGTTAGACACAATGAGGAGGTACGTGTCAGAGCACTAGGAAGTGTGTTAGACACAATGGAGAGGTACGTGTCAGAGCACAGGGAAGTGTGTTAGACACGATGAGGAGGTACGTGTCAGAGCACAGGGAAGTGTGTTAGACACAGTGAGGGGGTACGTGTCAGAGCACAGGGAAGTGTGTTAGACACAATGAGGAGGTACGTGTCAGAGCACTAGGAAGTGTGTTAGACACAATGGAGAGGTACGTGTCAGAGCACAGGGAAGTGTGTTAGACACGATGAGGAGGTACGTGTCAGAGCACAGGGAAGTGTGTTAGACACGATGAGGAGGTACAAGTCAGAGCACAGGGAAGTATGTTAGACACAATGAAGAGGTACGTGTCAGAGCACAGGGAAGTGTGTTAGACACGATGGAGAGGTACGTGTCAGAGCACAGGGAAGTGTGTTAGACATGATGGAGAGGTACGTGTCAGAGCACAGGGAAGTGTGTTAGACAGAACTGCCCACTGCACAAGTCTCACCACTCACCTTGGGGCTCATGGCCTCACTCATCACTGCACAGGACCCAGCGACTTGGACACTCAGGTTCTGAAATTCTTAATTTTCATCAAAATAAACATTTGAGAGGTGAATAAATGAAGATAAATAGCTCGCTCATTTGTTCAGCCTAGCTACAACCACCACATAAGTGTTCATGTGTTGTAAGGTGTGTGCCTGGACAGAGGCCCACAAGGTGGAAAGAGAAGGGTTCTTTTCCACATAGTCAGCTGGGAAGGAATCCAGACACAGGCCAGAGCACAAGCATGCAAGGGAGTAAGGGAGAGGAAATACAAATGACAAATGACAGGGACACTGAACCTCTGGGACCAGAAGCAAAGACAGCCTAGGGGAAGGGGAATTTTGTGCTGAACATACATTTATCCAGCCGAGGTATAGAGAAGCAGGAGATTAGAATACCTAACGAGAGTGGGGTGTTATGGAAAACAGAACTGTGGGAAAGGACCAAGCAGCAACCCTGCTTGCCACAAACAGCAGGCAAGCCCCAGAATCTAAAGAACAGACACAAGAGAACTGAGGAACACAAGAGCCTGGGGCTTCTGGGCAGGAGGAAGTGTGGGTACACATGGGGAAGTCTTTGTCCCAGGGCTAGAGAGGACAGCTCCTCCTGTAGGTTGTCTGGACCAACGCCAAGTGATGGAGGAAGGTCATTGGCTAATAAAGGCACTGCCCTGGCCCATTTTATTGGTTAGAGGATAGGTGGGAGGAGTAAACAGAACAAAATGCTGGGAGGAAGAGGAAGTGAGCTCAGAGACTCCACAGCTCTCTTGGGAGCAGACGCCTGAGAGAGACGCCATGCCCTGCTCCGGGCATGAAGCTCCGACCCAGGATGGACTAGGCTAGAATCTTCCCGGTAAGACCGGTGCTCACCGATTATTAGAGATGGGTTGATCGGGATATCAGAATTAGCCAGTAAGGGCTAGGGCAGAAGGGCCAAGCAGTGATTAAATGAATACAATGTCTGTGTAATTATTTCGGGGCATAAGCTAGCCATGTGGGCGGCCGGGTGTGGGGGACGCAGCCCTGCCGCCCCATATTACTACATTATGAGAGACTCCACAGCTCTCTCGGGAGCAGACGCCTCAGAGAGAGACGCCATGCCCCGCTCCCGGGATGAAGCTCCGACCCAGGATGGACTAGGCTGGAATCTCCCCGGTAAGCGCACCTTGGGGTGCTACATACAGATGATTAGAGGTGGGCTAAATTAATATGTGAGAATTAGCCTAGAAGAGAATGGGCCAGGCAGTGTTTGGAGGAATACAGTGTCCGTGTAATTATTTCGGGGCATAAGCTAGCCATGTGGGCGGCCGGGTGTGGGGGACGCAGCCCTGCCGCCCCATATTACTACATTAGCCAAGTGTTCAGAGTGAACTGCAGTATTGCCAGCAGTACTGACAGAAGAACACGGCAGGGAAAGAACCCGTAGGAGCCTGTGGTCCATCTAGGAGCCTGATACACGGGGGGAAGGAGAGCCTCATGGTTCCCAACACAAAGATGGGAGGAGCGTGAATGAAGGAGGGCTTCACAGAATTCTGACACACCAGGATGGAGGAGGGCCCCACACAGTCCTGACATACTAGGACAGAGGCCTAGGAGGCGTACTTGGGAGATGGAAGTGCGGAACTGAAGCTCTGTCCTTCAGATTCTGCAGCATGGAGCTTAGTGACAGTCTGAGTAGGTAGCCACGTGTGGCCACTGATAAACTTATCCTCAAATTCAAATGCTCAGACTTTCTACCCTAAACTTGTACTCCCCATCAATCTTTTTTAAGAAAATGAAGTTATAAGAGAGTAACATCAAAGATTACTGAGTTCAAGATCTCACCCTTGAAATGTAAAGCAGCTTCTAATTCAACGCTTGCCGGGTTAAATACGAATAAAGCTGTCGAGCTTCCAATCCACAGGCATTTGGTGCACTCAGAGGAAAAACTAATCTTAGAAAGAAACAAACAGTCTTCCTTCAGGTTAGTGCCACAGCATCCCCCGGCATTCCTGGTCCTCCATACGGTGAGGACGGACACACATCTGTGTGACTAACGCAAACGCTGTCTCCACCGACACTTCAGCTAGTCACACTCGGGAAAGGTGCTTCGCTTCAAAGAAGCCACCCCTGTCTATTGGACACAAGTATCCCCAAGAGTAAGAGCACGGCCATGGCTCAGTTCTGACAACCGGGGTTTATACCTTCTCCTGAGTTGTCAAGAGCAGTTGGTGGCAAAGTTACCAAAAGCCTGCTGATGTGAGGATCTAGGCAAGTGCTCAGACCCACGCTGCCAGTGGTCATGTCGGAGGAGCCCGGGCATCAGTGGAGCTTAGGGAACACAGCCCAGAGGATAACAAAGCTGCTCTGGGTACATCTCCCATCTCCAAGGGGCAAAGCCTGGAAAGATTGCTTCCAGGACGCCCTCTGCTTCTGCTGCGCTCCCTAATGCTTGTTGCTGCTGTGTTCCTGCTGTATTTGGCCTGGTGTGATTGCTTATGAAGGAATCCTACTGTATCTTGTGTAGTGTGATTGTTTCCTGGGAAAATCCCACTCCTCACTGCACAATTTACTTGAAAATCATAATGAAGATGATTTTTCTAAGAGCAATGATGATTAGTTAGACCTATGATTTAATTGGTGGTTACGACAGTTGGTAAAGACAATTAGGGAAATGGCTTAGGTAATTCTGTAAATTGCTCCAATAAGAGATACGAAAAACATAAAAATAGGCTAGAAGTTAGTTACCCTTTGTTGGAGTATTTGCAGAAGATGGAAAATAAGAACAAGGAAGTTTCATGCATTTAATAGACCCATGAATTCTGCCTGTAGTAAAAACAGGCTGATAATCAAATAAATCAATTATGTCCCCACACTCAAGGAAAGGCCTGAGTTCCTTGGTCATGTACCTTACAGAATGAATCACAGGCCCTGGTATGCACCTTGAAAAAACAAAGTTGTGAAAGGAAATTAAATGACTTATTGTGTATAGAGAAAAATAGACAGTTAGTTGAGCACTCTAAAGTTTCTCTAGACTAGAACCAAGAAGAGGAATCTGCGACACTGAAACCGCAAACAGCTACCCACCAGAACAAAGGAACTGCTGACATGTACCTGGCCTGCTTAAAACTTTGTTAACCAACTATAAAAGAAGTACTGATTTGGGGTGAAGATGTTATAGTAGGAAAATTAAAACAAAGAAAAATGTTTAATTACTTGTGGGCTTCTAAGAAAGACATGTAACTTGTGATCATAATATAATTTCTTCCTGTGTAAAAATTTTAATTTGTTTTTGGAAAATATATAACTTATGGTTGTGAGGTTATCTTTTCTTGCATGAAAATTGTTGTCTTAGGAAGTATAAAAGGGATAGAAAAAGTAAGAGAGGTAGAAGAAAAATGTAGAAGCAAAATCAGGGAAGACATTAGGAAGAGAACTACAAGGAAGATGGAGAAGGACAACGTAGGGAAGATGGAGGAGGAGGATGTAGGGAAGATGGAGGAGAACATAAGGAGGATGGAGGAGGAGAACGTAGGAAAGATGGAGGAGAACATAGGAAAGATGGAGGAGGAGAATGTAGGGAGGATGGAGGAGGAGAACGTAGGAAAGATGGAGGAGAACATAGGGAGGATGGAGGAGGAGAACGTAGGGAGGATGGAGGAGAACATAGGGAAGATGGAGGAGAACATAGGAGGATGGAGGAGGAGAACATAGGGAAGATGGAGGAGAACATAGGGAAGATGGAGGAGGAGAACTTAGGGAGGATGGAGGAGGAGAACTTAGGGAGGATGGAGGAGGAGAACATAGGGAAGATGGAGGAGGAGAACGTAGGAAAGATGGAGGAGGAGAACGTAGGGAAGATGGAGGAGGAGAACATAGGGAAGATGGAGGAGGAGAACGTAGGAAAGATGGAGGAGGAGAACGTAGGGAAGATGGAGGAGGAGAACGTAGGGAAGATGGAGGAGGAGAACGTAGGGAAGATGGAGGAGGAGAACATAGGGAAGATGGAGGAGGAGAACGTAGGAAAGATGGAGGAGGAGAACGTAGGGAAGATGGAGGAGGAGAACATAGGGAAGATGGAGGAGGAGAACATAGGGAAGATGGAGAAGGAGAACATAGGGAAGATGGAGAAGAATGTAGGAAAGATGGAGGAGGAGAACTTAGGGAAGATGGAGGAGGAGAACGTAGGGAAGATGGAGGAGGAGAACGTAGGGAAGATGGAGGAGGAGAACGTAGGGAAGATGGAGGAGGAGAACGTAGGGAAGATGGAGGAGGAGAACTTAGGGAGGATGGAGGAGGAGAACGTAGGGAAGATGGAGGAGGAGAACGTAGGGAAGATGGAGGAGGAGAACGTAGGGAAGATGGAGGAGGAGAACTTAGGGAGGATGGAGGAGGAGAACGTAGGGAAGATGGAGGAGGAGAACGTAGGGAAGATGGAGGAGGAGAACGTAGGGAAGATGGAGGAAGAGAACGTAGGGAAGAGAAAGGATAACAACAAGGAATAAGAACAGAAAAGAGAAAGAGCAGAGTAGGAACAAGCAGGAGATAGAAAAATAAAATGAACTAAGCTTTGGCCCTCAGAAAAGTCCCCTGTGTGTGTGCAGCTCCACTAACACCACACCTCTTTTCCAGACTCTCTGACCTGCTGAGTGTTGACCCTTCAGCAGCACAATGTCACCAAGATGCTGCCAGTTCCATTTGTGAAGATAAAGATAAGCTCAGAGAGGAGCTCTGGTCCACAGTGGCAGAACTCATCAGAAAGCCAACACGCGTCTGTTTTTTATCAATCAGCCTCATTCAAGCTTGGTTTGCACTAACTGTCCTCTCCCATCCGCACTGTCTGTCCCTTCATTCTACCTCTCCCTCTCACTAGAGCAGACAGCAGGCACCCCCTCCTCAGACCCACAGTACACAATCCAGCACTTCCCACATCACCTGACAAATCAAGGTGGACAGGGTTCAGTAGTGTGGCCCTGGCTTTGCCTGCAGGAACTCTCAGTACTCTGTGAGAGGACACAAGTCCTGTGACTCAGGGCAGGAACCAGCCCTCCCCCAGCCTCTGTTTTGCCAGCATAGCATGGACTAGGAAGGAGTCCTCCATTCCCAGGGCCCAGGCAGTGAAATGAGCTCTACTCACTTGTAAACAATCTCTCCCATCTAGAGCTGAATTTGCAGATGCTAGAGCTGCTGAGCTTTCTCAGGGGAAGAGGTAGGCTCTGAGACAATGCTTCCTTTTGTTCCCAAGAATCTATAATATTTCTACCATGCTCAGAAATAACTGAGTCAAACTCACTTGGGATCAGTTTTAGCGTGGAGCACCTGGGAGGACAGAGAGTGGGCGAAGACTGATGTGTCACACCCAAGAAAAAGTCCTGCTACAGAGGCTCTATCTGCCTGAATCTGCTTAGAAAAGTTATCTCTCAATAAAACCGGCAAAGTTTACCAAATCTCAGGCAAAATATGTGATTTTTGGAACAATTGCAATCAGTAACAATAAGAGACACAACACTTGTTTCCTTTAACCATTCACAAATCTGAATTTAGGTCCACTTAAGAAAGTTAGTGACCTACGGTTTTGGCCCCGTTAATCATACGCACGCTCCATCCTGGGTGTCGGGCAGGCAGAGGTCACAGTGTGCCAGGCTCAGGACAGGGAATGAGGCTTCAGCTTCTTCCCTTTTATCCACCTCAGGTGTAGAGTGGTACTGACTGTCTTCTAGGAAACAGAGTTATTATTGATTACCTAACAACAAAGTTCTTAGCGGTCAGCTAATAGAAAAGAACAGACGCAAAGACCCTTCAGAAATGCATGTTACAGAATGAATCGTGAATCAAAAAGACATTTAGACTTTGAGTACTAAGAAAAATAAAACTAAAAATCTAAAGAGAACCCTATATTGATTCTATAAGGGGTGGGGAAAGAGACGGCCATTGCAGAGGTCAATGCCACCATTCCTAAAATGGATGTGGGCTGTAGAAAAGAATGAGCAACTGCTTATAAAAAAAAAAGTGACAAAAATCATGGCTTGATATTTTAAGAGAAAGAGAGATATAGGACAATAATTTCTGCCCTAATTTTAAAAAATCATTTAAAGCCATACACAAAATATAAACCAAGGGAGGAGTGACTATGTGTAGGAACAAATATATAGGGCAGGAGAGTGGCAAGGGAACTAGTACACACACCATAACGGCTCTCAGCCTCTCTGAGAAAAGATGCCGCCGTCACTCCTCAAGTCAGTGCCAGCCCCGTCAGGGACCTAGAGCAGCACGAGAGGCATGGAGGAGACCGGTGTGGACAAGCTGGTGCAAGCTTGGACAGCAGAGCTGGGGAGGAGCTTAGGGGAGTGGGCAAGGATGCAGAGGCAGGGTCTGAGATCTGAAGGAGGAGATGGATCAGCATTTGAAATGGGAACAATGAAGCAGCAACCTGGGGCTCGGTGGTGTCAGAAGTCAGGACCTCCCACCCTGTCCACGGAGATCCCAGTGATTCTAAACGCTGCCTCCAGGCAGGAGGCCTACAGGGCACAAGACGCACACCTGGAAGGCTGCACTGCCTGGCCAGCATTCTTCGAGTGGAGAAAGTGTCACTTTTCTTCCTCAGGTCCACATGTGCCACACAGTGATAGTGGTGACTCTCCATCAAACTAAATATCCACAGCTACAATGAAAAAATATGGAGACACAGATCTTACTGTAAAATCCAAAGGGAAGTGGGCCAGAGCACATAAGCCGCATCAGATATGCTCTTGGGTTCTCCTAGACACTTGGGCTGCCCTGAATATTGCTTTTAGCCCCTCTTTGAAAGTTGCACAACTTCTAAGCAGGTGGTTACAGGGGGAAGTTTGTCCAGAACCTTAGGTCAGACGTGGCTGTGATTCAGAGTCACCTATGGGGTCCCAAGATCACTAACACCTACACAGCACATGCTACAGTCTTTGAGCCACGAGTACTTCTACCATGTTACTGGCCCTAGCACACACAATAATGACAGCTGAACTTATGAAGAAGAAAACAAAATAATAAACTATCTTACCTTCCGAATGTACGACTTCATCATATTTATATCGAGTGTCTTTATAAAATAAGACTAAAGTGTTTACATTAAATTTTTTAAAATAAATATCTTCAGTTTCAAAGTCATCTGATGCTAATGGCTGAGCAAGTGATTCTAACGTTTGCTGCATTCAGGTACTGCATAGCATTGTTAAAACGTGCAGATCGAGGTCAGTGCTGCAGACCCACGGCCTCCCAACCCCACCCCAGTGCTGAGGTGCACAGGGGGACAAAGTCCTAACACTGCAGGAGACAACACAAAGTAGAGGCCTGGGCACACCTGGGCACACGTCTCACCTGGCCATCCGCACTGCCAGTGACCAGCTGTCTGTTTTCTTCACGGATAAGCAAACTCAGGAGAGGGTAAGCTGAGGGGGAACACAGGGCATTCAGTACGGACAGTGCATCTTCTACCTGACTTAGCACTACTCTAAATCTTCATACCAGGAGGCAAAATTATAAATGAATAGAAATTTGGAAACATTCGTGAGCAAGAAAGAAAAAAGGAATGCTGTCCCAAATAAGAATGGTGGGGTATATTGCAGCCAGGATATAAAATTAAAAAACAAATAAATAGATTCAGTTTTTTTTTTAAAAAAAAAAAAAAGCGGTGGGTATGAGCTCCAGCTGACTGCTGGTATATCCTGGTTACCCCTTCTCGTCTGCCCACACTAAGCAGGTCTAGAGCAACTGTCGGAAGCCAGGAAGATGGAAGTACAGCTCAGCCAGCATTTTAAACAGGGCAGAGCGGTTCCTGTAGGCTAAAAACAATGAAATCATAGACTTGGCAATAAAAACAGTTAAACAGATGCCATACAAAAACAAATAACAAAAGAACTCCCTAAGATTTAATTTTATTTAGAATGTAGTCTAAAGTATCAAGAATTTGGAACAACTAGATAAACAGAGGTTAGGAAACACTGTGTGTCCTAACTAAGCTATAAATGGCATTCATGGTGAGTCTATAGCAGTCTGCAATTGTGTTCCTCAATCAACATGTTCTACAAGATTATATTCATGAAAACCCAACAAACTTACAGAAAATGCACTTCATGCCCAAACTTGGCGGAAAACTCCAGGCTGTCAGAACACAATATTCTTTATGTGGGTAATTGACCTAAAAATGCTCGATCCTGGAAAACTACAACAGTAACTCCAGCAGGCCACCAGGCCATCTGTTTTCCATAAGTGGCATTCTCATGAGCCATCTCAAAGGAAGGAAAGGTCCCAACACCAGCCATCCTGCTCTCCCACAACACTGCTGCATACATGGAGGGTCATGGGAAGAACCCCAGAATCAACCCATGAGACGCAGGGAGGAAACAGGGACCCGAGTGAAACATTCCCCTGGCTCACACACAACGCCTCTGTTCCCCAGAGAGCCAGACCACAGAAACTGGTCACTCCTCTGTACAAGGTGTTAGTTCCATTGCCCACAAAAAAAGACAATTTGATGAAAGAAACAATTATCCTAGAATTCACAGGATAGACGAAAGCATCCAAGCTAACCAATGACTTGCACGCTGCCCAGTCCCCTAGTCACGGGTGAGAGAGGTGTCCCTCCAAACTCTGCCAGCTCTGGGTCTCTCCACAAGACAACAGGGACCCTATCTTAGGCACTTAATCTGAGAGCTAACCTACTCCACACACTTACCTGAGACAGAAGCCCAGACACCGTGTGTGTGTGTGCGCGCGCGCGTGGGGGGGGGGTGTAACTGTGAACAGGAGTCAGAATTGATGGCTGCTACAGACGAGGCCGGTGACTCCAGCTGTCGCGCCCCACTCTGGGGTGACAGTCACACCAGGACAGTTTATTCACACAGCCTGCTTGGCTAGAACTTAAGAGTCCTTGATTTACCTGTTAAAATGGATGAGTTGTATATCGAGGATCCCACACAATAGTCCCAGACCTTTAAATGAAAGACATTTCTTTAAGAGATATAAAACGGTGTTAATATTACTAAACCATAGACTAATTTTAAGCAATTAAAAATTAATCTGTATAAATAATAATTAAAGAATTAAAATTCACATAGTGGATGAATCACTGCACTATTAAAACCCAAGACTTCAGAAAACATCCTAACTCCAAAGACGACTACCTATGGATTTGGGAGGACTGAAGACACACCTAAGAGACAGCAAACATCACATAGGCTCACTCATAAGTGGCTTTTAGACATAAAGCAAAGAAAACCAGTCTACAATTCACAACCCCAGAGAACCTAGACAACAAAGAGGACACTAAGGGAGACATACATGGATCTAATCTACATGGGGATTAGAAAAAGACAAGATCTCCTGAGTAAATTGGGAGCATGGGGATCTTGGGAGAGGGTAAAAGAGGAGGCGAGAGGAAGGGAGGGGACCAGAGAAAAATTTATAGCTCAATAAAATCAATTTTAAAAAGAAGAAAAAAAAGATAGAGCAAGCCCTGGGTACATAATCAGTACTTCACTGGAAAGTCGGTGAAGAAGGGCCATCCCTGGGTCTATGCCCCACGTGTAGAGGGTGCTCAGCCACAGGACTACATTCTAACCGACAGTCACATGTGTTTGCTATCCCTTCTATGGTGGCCACACCTCCAAGGACATTCCAAAATAGCAACTCTCTTCATTCTCATGATCACCAGTGAAACAAGAGGCCCCATTGTATCTATCTAAAATATAAAACTGAGTGCAACATAGTTTACCCAAGTATGGCTTTCTGCCCCAACTGTTGCTGACTCCGGGGGGAAGTCGGGCCCCACTGGGTCTTATCAGATGGGTATTTTTAAATGACAATAGTATGAATTTCATAACTTCTGTGGTTTGATACACACGTGTGACTTTCAGCTTTTAGGACAGTGATAAATGTCCACCCTTTGACAGTAAAACCACAGTTACAATAGCTAACTTGGGGCTGCTCAGAAGTGAACCGGCATTTTGCTTTGTTTTTTTCTGAAACTCACTTTAGTTCTTACTGAATCCCCACTGGGGACACTGGGTCCTCAGCTGCTGGTCATTTGGAAACACTGCAGATACACACTGCCGCCTCTATGTTTAAATGTGAGAAAGTCCCCACAGTTGTCCAGTCTCTAATTGCTGGAGGTCTAGGAAGTGCATGAAGGGGTACCCAGCCCAACAAGAGCATTAAAACTGCGCTTTCGTGTGGGTGAGGAAACAGCTTTTCTGTGTGTATGAGAGCTTGGCTTGCACACTAGTATGTGTACCACAGGTGTGCAGTGTCCGTGGAGGCCAGATAAAACATTGGTTCTCCCAGAATCAGAATCCCAGACTGTTGTGCACCACTGTGTGGGTGCTGAGAGCAGAGTCCTGAACAGTGGAGCCTTAAACCACGGGGCCATCTTGTCTTCAGCTGCGTCAGGCTTGTGTTACAAGAAAAAAAAACTTGCACAGCAGTGGCAATCCAAAAGCAGTGTCATCAACAAAATCCCTATGTCCTTAGCGACCCTATGTCCACAGCATCCCTATGTCCACAGAGTCCTTATGTCCACAGCATCCCTATGTCCATAGCATCCCCATGTCCACAGCATCCTATGTCCACAGCATCCTATGTCCACAGCATCCTATGTCCACAGCATCCCTATGTCCACAGTGTCCTTATGTCCACAGAGTCCCTATGTCCACAGCATCCCTATGTCCATAGCATCCCCGTGTCCACAGCATCCTATGTCCACAGCATCCTATGTCCACAGAGTCCTTATGTCCACAGCATCCCTATGTCCATAGCATCCCCATGTCCACAGCATCCTATGTCCACAGCATCCTATGTCCACAGCATCCTATGTCCACAGAGTCCCTATGTCCACAGCATCCCTATGTCCACAGAGACCCTATGTCCACAGCATCCCTATGTCCACAGTGTCCCTACATCCAGAGCCCCTGCTGCCCACCTTAAAGGTTCTGTCTTCAGACACTGAGATGAGGATGTGTGCTTGCCAGGGACAGAACTCCACAGCTGTCACTGAGCCTTGATGTCCCTGCAGCTCCACCAGCACAGACTGCTTCTAGGAGGATTTGTCAAAGGTTACTCAAGGAATTTCCTAGAATTATCAACATCAAGAAATCACAGTCCACCACAGAAAAGAGAGTTGCTGAAGTAAATTCTACAAGGCCAGACAAAGGGCTCAGCAGGTAAAGGCCCTTTCCCCCGAGTCCGAAGACTTAAGTTCTGTCCCTGGAACGCACACGATGGAAGAAGAGAACCAATTCTATAGGTGTCTTCTGGCTTCTACATACGTGCTATGGCATGCGTTCCTGCATGCACATGCATGCATTTGCACACACACATACACACACACACACACACACACACACACTGTTTTTAATTTAAAGGATAAACTCCATTTTATATACCACTCCTCCCACATCTGGGCCTACCCTACCCATATCACAGTTAAACCTGATACCCAAGATCTGAGGCAGGGGCATCATCAGAAAGGGAAAGGTGAGAACAGGCTGAATTTGACCTTGTAGGAAACAGGGAGCCAGCGTCTCCTAGACTTCCTGTTCTCTGTGGCTTTCTTCTGTCAGCCTCTTCTCAACAACCCATATGGTTCAGGGTAAAGGTAACACTTACCATCTACTGTTCCTTTATGTCTCTGTTTCTGTCATCTGTTTTCTCTATCACTGTCTGCATACCCCCCACACTCCTATCTGAATGTGCCTGTCCTATCTTCTACCTCCCGTTGAAGCTGATCTCCAGTAGAAAGTAACTAAAATATAACAAGACACCGTGGTAACAGCTACTAGGGAGTGAGCTATCCCTTTCTTCAATTCTTAACGTCACATAGCCCAGGCTTGGGCTAGAAGTAAACAGACTGGCTCACATTCTAACAAGCCCTAAGCAACATGCTGTGAGAACAACAGGACCTGAGAGTCACAGCTGCCTCTCAGCTCTGGTCCCAGTGGGCTCCCTGTCCAGTGGCAGGAAGATGCTTGAATGTTACGATGCTTTATGCAGACTGTAAGGACAACTCAGGCATACAAAGATATATAATGACAGATCATAGGTCTACAGATGATCCACAGACAGAAAGATACAACCCCGATAGACGAGGTTTAGAGTTGCATGCTCCAGCGCCATGCATGCTGCCATGTTCCCTGCTGAGACGACAGTGGACTAAGCCTCTGAAACTTCTGAAACTGTAAGAGCAAGCTCCTGATCAAATGCTTTCTCTATAAGAGTGGACTTGGCCACGGTGTCTCTTCACAGCAGTAGAACGGTGACTAGGACATTTCGTATCCCCAAATGTCTCACGCATCCTAGGGCTGAGGATAAGCACCTCGTGATTCTTGGCTGTTGTCTTTCCTTGCCCAAGAGTTTTGAAGTAGATCACAAGGAAAGCCGTAGCAGACAGAGCTTCTCCATAGCTGTGTTACCCAACAACGGGGTAAGACAGCCACTCCAGGCATTGGGCACTCTCCATGGACTCGGGGAGCAGAGGCTCCTTCCCTCTCTCCAGGGAGATCTTCTGACACCTGGCACTGCTTTCCCATGCTCAAGCCCAGTGCCCGACAAATGCTGGGCTAGAATCCCCAATCTAGGAGATATACACTTTTAGGTAAACTGTCTCAAGTAAGAAACAAGTGAGAAGTCTGAGCCACCGAGGGAAGTGGGTTTTGGCAAGTACACAGCTGAAGCACTGTGCTCTGCAGATTCTGGGGGACTCCTAAGGCAGGAGACTCATCAAGAAAGAACTGTTTTGGTAAATGTGCCAACGAAAAATATCCCTGACACAAATTCACATTAACATGATTCTAGTGTCTTATCAATTACAAGATCAAGATGTTTTCTTTGGATTACACACATACACACACACACACACACACACACACACACATCTTTACAAAATACATCAAACCAAACTGCCACTATAAAAAGGGAAGGAGGAGTGAAATACTCACCAACAGGAACCCAGCCTGGAAGGTGCCACCCAAAGTGTGCTTGGCACCTCCACGTGTGTCGTCCTTACCTCCACATCCATCACGGATATTTTGTTTCCAGCACACACTGCAACAGCACGATCGTCTGGACTAAACCTCAAACAGAGCACTGTTTGTAAAGGGGAGCCCAGGACAGTCCCTCGAGGAATCACCCCTAGAGCAAATTCCAGGTACGAGCGTCAGGTCATCAGAGGTCACAAGAATGGGTCCTGGACGGTTCTCTGCTCCAGGGCTACAAGCAGAGGAACAACTGGCTGGGAGGTGATAGTGGGCACAGTCTTTGTTCTAAAGCAGCTCAGTGCAGGACCAAGGTGATAAAGAAACTGGTCTTCAGATGGCCACGGGCACACAGAAGAGCTGCACAGACCAACCCAGCACTTTTCCCTGTGTCCCTTGCCATCCAGCTCTGGCAGTGACCAACTCTGACCAGTGTTGCAGACAGCGTGCTATGAGAACTCTGAACCCTGAGGCTCTTACTGCCAAGGCGACATCTCCACGGCAGCCTGCAGAGCCTTGGGTAACAATGCAGAACGTGCAGAGAAGACTGAATGGAGCTAACCAGAAAAGACAGTGCTTGCCATCTGCCCTGAGCCTCAGAGACCACTGCTAATCACCACAGATGTGTCACCAGGCAAACAAAAGACTCTGTATGTGGTGGCTCAGCTTAGCTGTCAATCTGACTACATCTGAGATCAACTAAAACCCAAGCAGTGGGCACATCTGTGAAGAACTTTCTTGGTTGGACCATCTGAGGAAGGAAGACCCACCCTAAATCCAATCGCTTGATGTTGAAGGACTTACCCTAAGTCTATAACACACCTTCAGTGACAGTCTACATAAAGAACATGAAAAGGGGAACTTTCATTCTCTGCCTGCTTGCCCTCACTCCCGCGTGCAAATTCATCTACCTTGTTCCTGGGGCATTCCTTTGCTATCAGAGCCCACTGTGAGGGGATTCTAAGATAGACGGAAGGCCAGCCGCTCTCCAGGAATTCCAAGGGACTCCAGCACCAAACTGGAACTGGTGAGACATCCAGTTTCAGGGACTGAACTGCAAAATTCCTGGCCTTTTAGGAGACAATCATTATTGATCTACACAGCCTATAAGGTGCTCTGATACTCCCCTCCACACACGTGCACACACACATATGCACACACACACAGGTGCGCACACACATATGCACACACGTGCGCACACACATATGCACACACACACGTGCGCACACACATATGCACACACACGTGCGCGCACAAAATATGCACACACACGTGCGCGCACACATATGCACACACACGTGCGCGCACACATGCACACACACGTGCGCACACACATATGCACACACACGTGCACACACACATATGCACACACACACGTGCGCACACACATATGCACACACACACACACACTCGCACACACATTCACGGAACCAGTTCTCTATGCTTCGTGCTACCAGCTCTGATCCTTCAGAGAACCCTGACTGAATGCTACAGAAAGGAATGCATGCGTCTCACAAACAAAATCACTCACTCAGGATTTGCCTTCTTTCACAAGCACCAGGGCTACACATGCTATGCCAGCCTGGGCTACACATACTATGCCAGCCTGGCCTACACATGCTATGCTAGCCTGGGCTACACATGCCAGCCTGGGCTACACATGCTATGCCAGCATCTTTTCAGCATCTGCAGGATCAGCTCCCAAGAGACAGCCTCTGCCTCTGTGGAAGATTAACGTGCATGAGGAGAAGACACAGCAGTTAACCCCAGGAGGCGAAACAGATGCCTGAGTTACAAGGAGGACCAGTGACGCAGCCCACATAAAGGCGTGGCATATCGGGGAGGGCAGAGACCAAGCAGCGGGAGGACAAGTGCAGCCAACACCTGTGTCCAGACCTAGGGACTCCGTGACGCTGGCAGTGGCTGCAACAGGCTGAGGGTGGGGCCGCATGCATGGCTCTTTCTCTGCATGGGTGAGGAGTTGCTGGGCTTTGAGGAAACACTGGACAGAAGCTGAGTAACTTTGAAAGTACCCTCGGGCTACTGAGTTGAGAATTAAACACAGGCACAGAGAGATGGAGGCAAAAGAAGATGGTTAGAAGTAAATCAGAATTCAGAAGAAGGATTTGGCAGCTTGTGCCTTTAGCACCCATGGACGTGTGACAGGTGACTAAATACAAGACAAGGTTTAAAGGTAAAACAGATGGAACTCAACAATGATTGGGTACGGAGTGAGCTGAGGTCCTAACCTGAGCGACTGAAGGACGGAGCTCTGATGAATCCAGACAGAAAGATGGTGAGAGGGGGCTCTGTAGAGCAGGAACAGCAGTTCCTGCCATCTAAAGTGCTTAGACAAGACAAGGAACTTCTGACAGGAAGTCTCTGGAGGCCGAATTAGGAGGAGCTCCAGATGGAAACAAGGGGTAAGCCTTCAGCACATGAATTGTTGGGTAAGATCATCAAGGGAATTCTGATGGGAAAAAAGAAAAACTTGTATTTCAGTGAGGGGACGCAAGTCAGAAGACGGGAGTCAAGCAGCCAAAAGTGGCTCAGAGTAAGACTGACCACAGTGGGGAGTCAAACAGCCAGCAGGGTCTCAGAGTAAGACTGACCACAGTGGGGAGTCAAACAGCCAGCAGGGTCCCAGGGCAAGACTGACCACAGAGGGGAGCCAAACAGCCAGAAGTGTCTCAGAGTAAGACTGACCACAGTGGGGAGCCAAACAGCCAGCAGGGTCCCAGGACAAGACTGACCACAGTGGGGAGCCAAACAGCCAGAAGTGTCTCAGAGTAAGACTGACCACAGTGGGGAGCCAAACAGCCAGAAGTGTCTCAGAGTAAGACTGACCACAGTGGGGAGTCAAACAGCCAGAAGTGTCTCAGAGTAAGACTGACCACAGTGGGGAGCCAAACAGCCAGAAGTGTCTCAGAGTAAGACTGACCACAGTGGGGAGTCAAACAGCCAGAAGTGTCTCAGAGTAAGACTGACCACAGTGGGGAGTCAAACAGCCAGCTGGGTCCCAGGGCAAGACTGACCACACTCACCACTGTAGAGGCAATAACCACTTCCTTCTCCAAACACAGCTACCTTCAGAGCGCCCAGGAACCAAATACAATTAGGCGCCAACTCCTGTACAGACAGAGCCACGCGGAGAGCTTCCAGCTCCCAGGAGTTACTCTCCCCTCAAACCCATAACGCAAGTAAATTCTCATCTCCAGGAGCTTCAGCATAGTAGATTAGACATGGAACGATCTGTACATACAGCGGAAGACGCCAAGTGGGCACTGGTGCTGTGATCCAGAAAGAAGCTTCTACCCAGGAGAAACCATTCAGGCATCAACATCCATGTAGGAACCTAAAACACAGTAACCATGAACACAGGAAAACAAAAACCTCACAACACTGACAACACAGACAGCTGTGGATCTACAGCCTCAGAAGTGCAGCCACTTCTAAAACAGAGGACGGTGTAGCCACGACATCAGGAGCACAGCTCCTCCAACACACACGGCCCTCTACACACAGCCTGAGCACAGCTCCTCCAACACACACGGCCGTCTACACACAGCCTGGGCACAGCTCCTCCAACACACACGGCCATCTACACACAGCCTGAGCACAGCTCCTCCAACACACACGGCCGTCTACACACAGCCTGAGCATAGCTCCTCCGACACACACGGCCGTCTACACACAGCCTGAGCACAGCTCCTCCAACACACACGGCCGTCTACACACAGCCTGAGCACAGCTCCTCCAACACACACGGCCGTCTACACACAGCCTGAGTACAGCTCCTCCGACACACACGGCCGTCTACACACAGCCTGAGTACAGCTCCTCCAACACACACGGCCGTCTACACACAGCCTGAGCATAGCTCCTCCAACACACACGGCCGTCTACACACAGCCTGAGCATAGCTCCTCCGACACACACGGCCGTCTACACACAGCCTGGGCACAGCTCCTCTAACACACAGAACCATCTGTCCACAGCCCCAGAGAAGCTAAGGAACAAGAAGGACCCTAAGAGGGAAATGCATGGATCACCCTAGGAAGGGGAGATAAGATTTCCAGAGTAAATTGGCAGTGGGGGATAAGGGATGGGATGGGTAATGAAAACATGAGGGAATGGGATGGTCAAGTTGAGGGAGGGACAGAGAGGGAGAGCAATGAAAGAGACATCTTGATAGAGGGAGCTGTTATGGGGTTAGGGAGAAATCTGGTGCTAGGGAAATTCCCAGGAATTCACGGGATGACCCAGGTAAGACTCCTAGCAGTAGTGGAGTGGGTGCCTGAACTGACCTTCTCTAATCAGATTGGTGACTACCCTAATTGTCATCATAGAACCTTCATCCAGTAACTGATGGAAGCAGATGCAGAGGTCCACAGCCCAGCACTGGGCTAAGCTCCTGGTCCAGTCAAAGAGAGGGAAGACAGGTTATATGAGCAAGGGGTATTAAGATCCTGATGGGGAAACCCACTGAAACAGTTGACCCGAGCTAGTGGGTGCTCGGGACTCTGGACTAACAGCTGTGGAGGCCCTCTGAATGTGGGCGACAGTTGTGTGGCTTGGTCTGTTTGTGGGATCCCTGGCAGTGGGACCAGAATCTATCCCTGGTGCATGAATTGGCTTTTTGGAGCCCATTCCCTATGGTGGGATACCTTGCTCAGACTTGATGCGGGGGGGGGGGTCTTGATCCTGCCTCAACTCGATATGCCAAGCTTAGTTGACTCCCCATGGGAGGGATTACCTTCTCTGAGGAGCCGATGGAGGAAAGTGGGGAGAAAGAGGAGGAGAGGGAGGGGGAACTGTAGTTGGTATGTAAAATTAATAGAAAATTTAAAATAAAAAACAGCATAGATTTCTCTATTAGATTACAGGGTAGAAGGGATTGTCTGGTAATTGCTGCCATGACTTGTGAAATCGTTCTTACTAAAAAATATTGTTAAATTGTGCAGAGACACAAACCTGTCTGGCTATGTTCCTGGCTCACTTCGCTCACAGCACTGAGGAACACACAGTTTCACAATTCTGTGATTACCTGGCATCTCTAAACACAATCCGATAAACACACATCTGGGATGTTACCTGGCATCTCTAAACACAATCCTATGAACACACATCTGGGATGTTACCTGGCATCTCTAAACACAATCCTATGAACACACATCTGGGACGTTACCTGGCATCTCTAAACACAATCCTATAAACACACATCTGGGACGTTACCTGGCATCTCTAAACACAATCCTATAAACACACATCTGGGATGTTACCTGGCATCTCTAAACACAATCCTATGAACACACATCTGGGATGTTACCTGGCATCTCTAAACACAATCCTATAAACACACATCTGGGACGTGGGCCCACCTGAGCCATCAGCCTCAGCTGGGAAAGCTCTTATCACACACACTTCCTCAGTCCCTGCCGGCCAGGCCCTTCACACCCAGTCCCTGCAGCCATGTCCTTCCGTGTCTACCCCAGCCCCAGCTGAGTCTCCCCCATCTTCAGCTGCAGTCACAGTTCTGCAGAAGTCACCTGTGTGCAAGCATGCTGTCCTAAGTGGGAAACGTCCACGCAGAGAGCAAGCCTTACCCCTTCGCCACTGTGTTTGCAACATGAAACACAGCAAGCACCGAGGTTATCTACACAGGAATGAGGTAAGACATCAAACTGCCCACGGATCCCTGGAGGTCTAAATATCAATACCAACAAGCCTCTGCATTTGTATATCACACAGCAAAGGTCAGCGGGGTTGGTGTCGAGGTACATTTATTTAGATACCTGTAGCACTGAAGGGACTGTAAAAGGCCCTACTCCTGACGTTATAAGGGTACTTATAGAAACGATTCACTCCTGCATGGTGCTAGGATTAAACCATGGTCTCCTCCATGGAAGGTGTCTTAATTAGGACTTCTGTTGCCATGATAAAATGTGATGGCCAAAAGGACAGGGATGAAAGGTTTATTTCATCTTACACCTTACAGGGCATTGTCCAGGAAAGTCAGGGCAGGAACTCAAGATAGGAACTGATGCAGAATCCATGATGGAACACTCATTACTGACTTGTTTCTCATGGCTTGATCAATTTTTTTTTAATACCCCTGGACCACCCGCCTGGGATCACATGACCATGGTCTGGGCCCTTCTATTCCAATCACCCATCAAGAAAATGCCCTCATGTCTGCCTAGAGGCCAATCTTATGGAGGCCTTTTCCTCACCTGAGGTTCCCTCAGATGACTCAGACTGACTAGGACGCGGTCTGACCAGGAAGGCCGTGAGCACTCTCCCTACACGCGGATGCGTCACCAGCACCTCGCCACAGGAATGGTGCTGAGCTGTGCTTCCCACCTCTGCTTACCTTTGAGTGTCTTCTCTCGGCATGCGGCCACATTCCACATTATAATACAATCATGGGAGGCAGAACAGAGTTGATGTGGATCTATTTGATTTCCAAAAACCACAGCGGTAATCAGCTGATGGTGTCCTTGTAAAGTGAGGAGCTTAAAAAACAAATAGGTTGATTATAACATTGAAAATATATAGAGAAACAATATAATTTCAAACCTGGGCTTGGTTTTTAATTCATTAAAACTCCCCGCATGCAATGCATCACTATTGGCTGTTACCATGAATTGTTACAACGAGGCAGGGACTCATGCTTCTCTTCCTTACTATGCATTAACAAATGTGTACTGAGTACTCAATGGATGCAGAAGAGGTGCTGGCTATACTGACAGCTAAGAAGAGAGGAGCTGGCAGAGGATGAGCACATTTGGACCATTAGACAGCAGGGATACAGAGGCTCTCCTGGCTACAACAAATAAGGATGTAGGGTGTGTGGCTTGAGACTGCTGCAGACACTATACGTGCCAAGACACTGAAACCAGTACTCAAGTACAAGCAGAGTGATACTGGGATGTATGTGTGTATGAGTGCGGAAGAGACATTAGCAATCAGAACTTGTAGGCTAGAGAATTAGCAAATCTGTTGTAGATAGAGAGAGGGGACAAACAAACTCCCATAGTCAAAAGAAAAGGGAAAGGCGTACAAATGGAAGATGGGGTGAGGGGCCAGGATGTCGGGGTGCGTCAGTCCTTTGGAAGTTCAAGTGCACAGAAGTTGACAATAAGCAATTTGGGATAAGGGGTATTATTGGACAGGACAAGAAACACTCCACTCCTGGTAACACAGGCTTGTCTAATGGCACACGATCCTCGGTGAGAAAGACAAGAAAACCGGAAGACATGCAAGACTTAATGGCTTTTTTTAAAAAAAAGATTTATTTATTAAGTAGACAATGTACTGCTGGCAAGGAAGGCTCCAGGTCTCATCACAGATGGCTGTGAGCCACCATATGGTTGCTGGGAACTGAACTCAGTTCCTCTAGAGCCAGTGCTCTTAGCCTCTGAGCCATCTCTCCAGCCCTGGCTTTTCTTGAAGACATGAGAAAATGATCACAGGACCTGTAGGCACCTGTCCTACAATGACATCATCCCAAGGGCTGGGGCTGTAGCCCAGGTAGAGCATTTGCCTACCATCCATGAGGTCCTGGGTCTGATTCCTAGTACTCCCAGAAAGAAAGAAAATCTCCCTCAAAAGTAATGGTCAGACATTCTATAAAACACAGTTGAGAAACTTAGATATTAAACATTAAAAGACCTAAGAACTGAGATACAATATAACCAAATGTATCCTTTTCAAGAACATATCAAAATACCATATAAGAGGAGGGACGGACTGTTCATTCTGTCATGCTGATCTTAAATAAAAATCCCGAAATCAAGTTAAGTGCCTTAACGTAGGAGATGTAAGAAAAAAATAAGGATGGATAAACACATTTCTGCTAAAATTCAACACACTAGGACAGGAGCATCATGCTGCCAACATCCAGCCTTAGAATAGGAATCCAAAAAAGACCAAATACAAGAAGCAAAGAAACTCCTGCCCTTATCATGGCAAGGTATCAGAAGCAAACATAAATCCTATCTGAAGAAGGAAGTTCATCCTGAACAATCTATAAATATCTTCTTCGCACCAACATGAAAAAAAAAAGATAACCTAACAGAAAAATAAACAAACAAACAAAAATTCAAGAGATCCAGCAAAAGGGGAAGGCCCTGGACACACACTCCAGCAAAGTGTGTATCTAAGTGGCCACTCATCATGCAGTAAGACTCTGGCTCGTAGGCATCATAATGCATGAAAGAATGTGTAATGGGGGACTGCTATTCTACCAGGGCTAACATGAAAGGGTCAAGTGTGATCAGCTGTGGCTCTGACCATCAGCAAAGACACAGCTTTATAGTCACTTGAGAAACTCCCAAATAATATCTATTAAGTCTGTGCATCTCCTGTAACTCAACCATTTCCATGTGTGCCCCCAGAAAACGGCAAGAAACAAGTAAACAAACAGATAAAAGAAAGCAAACTTCCACCAACAGTACTGGATGAAATAAATGGTCTATTTGGTGTAAGCCGTGAACATGAAGAGGTACTGGACTCTTCTAAAGGCATGTGAAGGAAAGAGATGCTAGCAGAATGTACAATGAGAAATTCCATTCCCATCAAGTTAAAACATGAGGGAACTGTGCCTCTTTGCCAGAAGTCAAGATGGCGTTGCGTTTGGTAGGAGAAGAGACCTGGCCTGGCCATGGTTTCCCAGGTGACACTTTTCTCCTAAACATTTTATTCGTCACTGCAAAGCAAGAAAGCTCAAGCTGAGTATGAATGGAGGAGGCTTCCTTGAGTTAGGATGAGCTTTTTCTTGTTCATATTCGTTAAAGACTTTTTAAAGAAAGTCAATTCCATCAGGCAGGGATGGCAGGCACATTTAATCCTAGCACTCAGGAGGGAGAGGCAGGCAAATCTCTATGAGTTCAAGGCCAACCTGGTCTACAGAATAAGTTCTAGGACAGCTCACAGAGAAGTCCTGTCTTGAAAAAATCAAAAAAGAAAAGTAAGTTAATTCCAGCCCATTTATATTGTAGAAATAAGAACTTAACAAAATGATTGTTTCTCAACACCGCTCTGTCATAGTTCACAGTCGACTCCATGGTTGCTAACATTTCCAGAGTATGAGAGAAATTAAGAGACAAGGCAAGGTCTCTATGACCCTGGATCTCACAAGAACACCCTTGGTTTGTGACCTGCCTGGTGAGAAGGGTCCCTGGGGCTCCACACACAGAGATGGTTCCCATCTAAAGGAAAAGCACAGTACTGTGTGCTGCAAGCAAGTGGAACATGGGCTGTGGACTTCTTGGACTCAACCAGGTATCTTTCTGCAACTATATCACTGGAGTGGGCATCAGTGGAGGGCATCTCTGGAACTGTGTCCATTATCAGTCTGAAAATACAAAGCAAGTGCAAGGTGAGGGCAGGTCAGCATGAAAGTCTAGTTAAGTCATCATATTAGCCTGAGTACACATATCACACTTACCCACTCATCCCCACCTCCCCCCAAAATGGAAAAGGACCCCGTAAACAAGGAATGACCTCTACTGCTTTCCCATGATCTCCACTTCCAGGCCTTCCTCCACCTTCTGGGTCTCGTTCAGGACCAGGAAGGTGAACAGCCACCTCCCAGTGGCCTGGCCTGACGGAGGGCCCCTGCATAAGTGGTGTGGTAATTCAAATGTAATTGGTCCCCATAAGATCACAGGGAGTGGCACTATTAGGAGGTGTGGCTTTGTGGAATAGGTATGACCTTGTTGGAGGAAGTGTGTCACTGTGGAGGTGGGGTTTGAGGTCTCATATATGCTCAAGCCATGCCTAGTGAACAGACTACTTCCTGATGCCTGTCAGTCAAGGTATAAGACTCTCAGGTCCTTCTCCAGCACCATGTCTGCCTGCATGCCACCATGCTGAACCATGATGATGATGGACTGAACCTCTGAGGCTGTAAGCCACCCCAATTAAATGTTTTTCCTTTATAAGAACTGCCATGGTCGTGGTGTCTCTTCACAGCAATGGAAACTATATTTGAGACAAGTGGAGTTGGTGATGAACTCCAGTAAGAACCAGGAACCCTCACAGCAGCCCTGGGATGCACTTAAATATCTCAGTTCTCTGGTAAGAGTTAGTTTACTATGGGCTACATCATCTGTGGTTCGTGGCTAAGTATCACCAAGCATACTTTAACAAAAATGCTTCAGATATTTTATTTACTTTACTGGATAGACCCATGTGGCACTAGGCTAGAAGATTCCTTGATGCCACTCCTTCCCACATCCCACTGTGAGCACAGATGTACTTGACGGCACACCCAACAAATTTTGAAGCAGGTGGTTTCTGGTCATCACGATGTCCACACCTTGCTATAAACAGAGCTGATCACGCCCTAGTCCAGTCTTTAGAACCTTGTCATTGGAAGTGAAAGTGTCTCTAAGAACAAACATTCTTGCTGAGAACTACAAATAGTGGAATTTAAATAAAATACAGAGTAACTGATTTCTGGGCATTTACAGTAAACCTTGTAAAACTGGGTATTAGATGTTCTGACAAGTGTTCTGGCTGCATGTCTGTGTTTGATGAAATCATGTGCCCCTGTTCCTGCAGTGCCCATTACAGGTGATTCTAATTTATGCTCATGTATTTTAAAATATAACATATTGCAGCCCAAGACTATAGGAACTAATGCTGCTGTTTTGTTTTTATGGGCATGCTGGGCCTGGGGAACTGCCTTCTAAGTATCTGTTTCTGCTCACAGGTTAACGCTGCTCTCAGCTGTGCTCAGGGAAGCTTCCTTTTAAAGTGGGCAGCGGTTACTGCAGAGACTAAATACAAGTGACTGTGGAATGACCAGTCACTAAGAGACATCTGTATTACTCCCTCCAAGGCTCAGGGATGTCAAGGAGGAGAGGAAAGAGGGTAAGAGCCAGAGAAAGAGGTGGAATGTTGTGAAACAGTCTTCTGGGCAGGGCATGGCCAATGCCCTCTTGCGAATCCACAGCATCTGTGATTATCTATGTGAAACTGAGCCTGTCAAGATTCTGTCGTGGAGGAGGGTGTTCACGAGTCCCCACATCTTCCTCGGGATTTATGGGTAATTTATAGTTAATAGCTGCTAGGGAAGAGAGACGCTTCCTTCAGTGGCTCCATACTGGTAAGGGGCCCATGTTTCTGTCAATAGCCTTTCACCCGCTTTCTTCAGTGGCTACATACTGGTAAGGGGCCCATGTTTCTATCAATAGCCTTTCACCCTTGCTCCTGTAAACACTCATTGGGCCGCAGAAAAAAAAATGATATAAAAAATAGAAGAACTAATTGGGAAGAGCGTGCAATTAGTTGGGGTGGGAGATGTGAATATGATCAAAACATACACGTGTGTAAAATGTCACAAGGGAAATCATCGCTGTCTAGTTAATACATGCAAATAAAAATAATTAAACTGGGGCCTGAGCATCAGAAATCTGTCAGCTTCCTATGAATGCAGTATGACCAGCCACTGCACACTCCAGGCATCCCTAAGACTCCCTCCATTTCAGATCACACATGTTCTATGTTCAACCATCCCCACCTCCCGTGATGCCTCTTCTCCCATCCCCAATATCCATTCTAGTCCAGGTCTCTACCAACATTCCAGGTTAAACTAACAAATCTCAGAAATCAAAGTGGTACTCTGTTATCAGAGGACATGCAGTGTTTGACCTCCAGGGCCTCAGTTATCTTAATGCATTTTCCAGTTCCATCCACTACTCTGCAAAGTTCACATTTTTGTTTTTCTTTACAGCTGAGTAAAATTCTATTGTGCACATGCACCACATCCTTCTTGTCCATTCGTTGATAAATGGACATCTAAGCTGGCTCCATCTGCTGCTGTGAGCGGAACGGCAGTGGACAGATGTGCCAGTGTCTCTGCAGTAGGATGCACAGTCCCTTGGACATGTTCCATCCCGGTACAGTTGGATCATAAGCACTCTTGTGTTTGTTTGGGAACTGCCAGGCTGATTTCTGCAGCAGCTGCACAAGCTCACCCTCCTACCAACAGCAGCTAAGCATTTCCAGTCTCCACATCCACACCAGCATTTGCTGTCATTTGTGCTTGTGGTGGTGGCCACCATGGCTAGAACGAGGTGGAATCTCAATGTAGTTTTAATCTGAACTTCCCAGGTAGCTAAGGATGTTAACACGATTTTAGTGTTCACTAGACATGTATAAACAGGTCAACTTCTTCCTTGAACTCTGTTCCGTTCCATAGGCCATTTTTAATTGGGTAGTTTGTTTAGGTTTTTTTTTGGGGGGGGGTGGATCCTTTGTATATCCCACACGATAATCTGATCAAACACATAGCTAGCAAAGATTTTCAGCCACTGCATTGTCAGAGTTATACAGTCTTCCCTGCGCCCTTAAGTGAAGTTTATGCTCAACCATTTCCTTTGGCGGTTTCAGTTTCAAAGGCCTCAGTTTTATACCCAGCTCAAACTACCACTAGTCTACTAAAGAACACGCCCATGAAACTGTAACACAAGATGATCACAGACCAGACCTGGCACACAGCAGGCACCCATACACACTCACGAGGGACCAACACAGGGCAGGCACTTGTGCATATCTGTGACTAAGGGCCCCGTACTATCCCTCATCTTCAGGCAACCTGCCTCTTCCTCCAACTCAAACAGTTGCCTTGTGGATTAGCAGTGTGAACTAAATTAGAATATAAACTCTCCAATCTCCCCAAACCCCAGCTACCACGGCTTGGAATGCCCTATATAGCTGGAGCTTTTGTTTCTGGGACTGGTGCTGGTGTCTTCCGTCGGCCACAGATTTGCTTCTGAAGAACAACTCTTGTCTGCCAGTGAGGGCAAGAATCTGCAAGCCCGCCCTGGCTATGGAAACAGATATCTGCTTAGAGACACTGAAAGATGGATCCGCAGACGCTAGGGTTTCTAACAGTGAACAGACTCGGCAACACTATGGGGCATACCCAAGCTTAGGACCACAGTAGGTGAGACCGGAACAATGCCCTGCAGCACGGATGAACCTGTGGGTGCTAGGGGCTAATTGAGGGAGTCTAACGTGCTTCCTAGGTTGTTGGCCTAAGCAACGAGGCTGCTGTTTCTAAGACACAACAGCGTGTAGTATCATAAATTAACTTGGGAATGTGGTGATTAGAATCTGCAAAGCTTCCATGTGGCATTCTCTAGGCTCCGAGTCCAACTTTCTAGCATGGGAAGAAACAGGAGCCCGTTTCCTACCCCATGGGGTGTAAATTCAGAGAGTAGCAATTTGAGTGCCTCGTGCTGCTCTTAGCATCCAGGGGCTGGCAGGATGGGTGAGTCTAAACACACGGGAATATGAAAGGAGACATGACATTAACTGATGGGGGAGAGTCTTCTGTTTTGTGTTAATTTCATTGGTTAAATAAAGAGACTGCCTTGGCCCTTTAATAGGACATAAAATTAGGTAGGCGGAGTAAACAGAACAGAATGCTGGGAGAAAGAAGCTGAGTCAAGGAGTCACCATGATTCTCCTACCGGATACAGTCACAGGTTAAGATCTTCCCTGGTAAGCCACCTTGTGGGCTACACAGATTATTAGAAATGGGTTAGGTCAATATGTAAGAGCTAGCCAATAAGAGGCTGAAACTAATGTGCCAGGCAGAGTTTAAAAGAATACAGTTTCCATGTAATTATTTTGGGGCATAAGCTAGAGCTAGCTGGCGGCCGGGAGCTGGGGCGGCAGGGAAGCAGCCCGCAGCTCCTCACAACAATTAACACTCTACAAGATCCCACATCTCAGGTGGAGCAGGGAAGGCAAGCCTCTGAGAAAGACAGTAAGTGCAGGAAATTCTATGGTAAGAGCCCAAACACATATACAAACACACGTGGTCATGGGCACACACATACATACCAACTCATACTCACCACACTTGAGCATATACCATACACACATAAATAGGACTGGTAGAGAAGGAATATGGTAAAAAAAAAAAACAAACTTAAGGACACTGTGTTGGTCAGAATTCTCTAGAGCAACAGAACTGAGAGAAGCAATCAATACAGACAGCGGTTTTATTGAAGTGGCTGTAGTCTAGCTAAGCCAACTCTGGAAGTCCACACATCCAGTAGTGTTCAGTTCACAAGGCTGAATGCTCTGCAGTATATGCCAGGACGCCAAAGTAGGCACTTTGTGCCCATGATGGGATGAAGTCGAGTCAGAGTAAGGGCAAGCAGAAGACAAAGAACTTCTTTCTTCCTTGTCGTTTCTATACGCTGCCATGAGGTGTGGCCCAGGTTACAAGTGTGTCTTCTCACTTCAGATGACTAAGAATAAAAACCTCTCACAGGTGTGCCCAGCCACTTGGGCTTTAGTAAAGTCCAGATGTGGTCAAAGTCAATAACCAAG